CATGCAAATACTCCCAGCAGACAGTAGGAGTTGGCATCCTGATATCTGACAAAATAAACTTTTCATTAAAATACAAAAAGACAAAGAAGGATACTACATATTAATACAGGGAACAACCCAAGAAGAGGATATCACCATTACCAATTTATACTCTCCAAATATTGGTGTACCCAAATACGTTAAGCAAATGCTCTCAGACTTACAGGAAAAATAGATCCAAATACAGTAATACTAGAAAAGAAAAAAAAAAAAGAACTACAGACCAATCTCTTTGATAAACACAGGTGCAAAGCTCCTCAATAAAATTTTAGCCAACAGCTGGGTGCTGGTGGCTCACGCCTGTAATCCTAGCTACTCAGGAGGCTGAGACCTGAGGATTGCGGTTCAAAGCCAGCCCGGGCAGGAGAGACCGTGAGACTCCTATCTCCAATAAACCACCAGAAAACCGGAAGTGGCGCTGTAGCTCAAGTGGTAGAGTGCTCGCCTTGAGCTGAAGAGCTGAGGGACAGCGCCCAGGCCTAGAGTTCAAGCCCCAGGACGACAAAAAAAAAAAAAAAAAAGTTCCAGGAATTTGATGAAAATTAGAATACAACCTATCAGAACCAACAGGAAAGAGCGACGTCAGTGGTAAAACAGCAATTTATAGCTATGAATGCCTATATTAAAACACCACCACCACCAAAAAAACACACACCAAAAAAAAAAAACAACTAAGATGGCATATGCTTGAAATCCTAGCTATTCAGGAGAGGTTGAGATCTGACATTTACAGTTTGAAGCCAGACCAGGCAAGAGGAGTCCATGAGACTCTTATGTCTAATTAGCCACCAGAAAACCAAAGTGGAGCTGTGGCTCCAAAGTGGTAGAGCACTAGTTTTGAGCAAAAAACCTCAAGGACAGAGCCCAGGCTGAGGTCAAGCCCCACAACTGACCAAATAAATAAATAAATAACCAAACAACAACAGCAACAACAACATAAAAACCCAGAAAGTTCTCAAATGAATAGCCTAAAGATAACCCTCAAATTTTGAGAAAAACAAAAACAAACCAAATCCAAATTAGCAGATGGAAAGAAATAATAAAGATTAGGGGAGAAATTAATGAAACTGAGACTTTAAAATACATAAAGAGCGGCTGGGAAGGTGGCTCAGTGGTAGAGCGCTTGCCTTGCATGCCTGAGGCCCTGGGTTCGATTCCTCAGCACCACATAAGCAAAAAGAAAAAAGCCAGAAGTGGCGCTGTGGCTCAAGTGGTAGAGTGCTAGCCTTGAGCTGAAGAGCTGAGGGACAGCACCCAGGCCCAGAGCTCAGGCCCCACGACCGGACCCAAAAAAAAAAAAAAAAAGAAAATCAAGAGTCAATAGAACAAAAAGTTTTTGTTCTTTAAAAAAATAAGATGATAAGGCATTAATTTGGCCAAAAGAGAGAGAAAAGAGATTCAAATGAGGAAGATTTAGAGATGAAAAAGGGAGTATTACATGTATCAAAAAAATTAAGAGGATCATGATGGAATAACTTTCAAATTCTATAGTAAAATCAGCTGGAAAATCTCTTTGTTAAATATTGGTATAAATGTTATCAATTAAATTTGTGCAAACCAATTCAATACCACCTTAAAAAAAAGATCAGACACTATGATAAAGTTAATTTCATCCTCAGGATGCATGGATGGTTGGTTCAAGCTGTATAAATCCATAAAAGCAATACATCACATGTACAGGACCAAGCACAAAAGTCCCATGATCACTCAGTTGATTCATAAAACAAACAACAACAAAAAAAGCCCTTTGACTCAAGTGGCAACATATCACTATCACTTTCTAGGGCTCCTATAAAAGAGGTACTAATTTTCACATTGCCAATTTTCAAAACAACAATGTAATATGATTATAATTGCTTAAAACATAAAAAATATAAAAAGCAAATACATTCCTTTATCATTGTTATGAACTTGAAAGTAAGACACTTGGAAAAACAATATCCAAAAAGGTAACAGCTACTGATTTTAATAACAACTGATATCTAAATTCTGTCTTATATTGGATATTTCAATTTATATATTTTCAAGAATCCTGTAAAACCATTTTCCTCAATTTAAGTGAGGAAAATAAGGTTCTGTTAATAAAACCCAGAGCTGAAATTAATATCATATAATCATTCCAGATCCCATGTTTTTTTGCCAAAGCATCAAGTGATTATAAAGAAGCTTCCTAATATATTTTAGCAAATAATATTTTGGTTTGCACTGTTATGCCAACAATGGCATATGCTGCCAAGGTAGCAGACATATTACAAAACAAATCATGACTACTATGCTATCTATCCATGCCACTAAACAACTTACTTACTATTTTTACTTTTCTCAGTATTTCAATGTTTAAGAAAAGAAGCTGAATGGATATCTGTGGCTTACCTCAGCATACTTGCTTGCTTCCACTACAATCATAGCCAGGTAGGTACTGACAGAATGGTATGCATTAACTTAAAGTACCTTCTCATAGTATCAAGGTGTGCCAAAATAGAATTATAACTTCTATTACCATTAAGAAGAATATGCCTCTTAATTAATTCATATTCCTCTACCAAAATTTGTTATGCAAATTAACATACACAAGAGATACTGGCACACCCATGTTTATAGTAGCACTGTTCACAGCAGCTAAACTTCAGAATCATCCTATGTATCCATTAAATGATGCATAGAGGGAAAACACGTGACATTTAGCATTCATTTAATAAGTAGCAAAATTGACATAAGATTATACTCAAGTCTAAAATGGGACTAAAGCATGTAAATATTCAAAATAGTATAAAATATTAAAGTTGTGGAAATTTTTACAGAGGAAATATATAAACATGTATTTGCATTTGGGCATATTGTAACTATCATGAAATATTTGTATGACACTGAAATGCTTCCTTCAGTTGCTGCCTATAACAATACATTTCCTAGTTTGGACATTCCATACCTGTCTGATAGCACTCACTTATTTTCTAATACTATTCCTTCCTGATTTTGCTCTATGCATGCACTTTTAAGTCTCTACTGTCATGCTTGAGTTCAGTTATCACAACCTCTACCACAATCACTAGCAATTTTGAGCTTTCTGAGCTTTTTTTTTTGTTGTTGGTCATGGGCCTGAACTCTGGGCCTGGGCGCTATCCCTCAGCTCTTCAGCTCAAGGCTAGTGCTCTACCATTTGAGCCACAGCACCACTTCCAGCTTTTTCTTCTTATGTGGTGCTGAAGAATTGAATCCAGAGCCTCATGCATTCTAGGCAAACACTCTACCACTCAGCCCTCCTGAGCTATTTTCAGAGCACTGTTCTGAAGAATTTACACAGACTGAGGGTATAGAAACAGTAGTAGTTTGATAGTACAATTTTATATCCACTGAATCTAGTAATAAAATACATATTCTGTGTTTCTTTAATGTGTATTTCACATTCCAATAAAAAACATTTCCACTTTCATTTTTATTGTGTATCCTAAAAATACTGGTGTTGCAATAGCCAGGATATGGAAACAACCCAGATGTCCCACCACAGATGAATGGATCCAAAAATTGTGGTATCTATATACAATGGAATATTGTGTAGCCATTAGAAAGGACAAAATAATAGCATTTGCAGGGAAATGGATGGAGCTAGAAGAAATCATGTTGAGTGAGGTAAGCCAAGAGCAAAGAGACATACGGCATATGGTCTCCCTGATAAGTGGATATTAAATCCAAAATGTAAGGTGATATGACAAAATTAACAAGACTTAAGAAACAAAGGACTTCCACTCATCTGGTCAAATCACTACTAAATAACCCCATGCTGCTGATCACATATATGGTATATATGTGCACACTGGAGGGAAACCAGGAGGACAACACAGAACTAGAGGGAATCAGGGATAAACATACATCAGTGGGACCCAGCTACATTGGACATTGATCAAAATGAACTAGGAAACTCAATGGCAGTGATGGGAGGGAGGGAACAAATGGGAAAGAGGGAACAGCTGATGCTATGCAAAACAAAAGAAATGTACATATCCCCAATGTGGAAGAAATAACTGTATTGCAAAGCTCATAGAACTCATAAATGTTATAGACCATGATAGACAATTTGCCCCATGAAAGTTAGAATGCATTTGTGACTTTAATAAGCATCACTATCCCACAATACTGTGAAATTTGGGAAATTATGTAACCACTTAATCACAATAAAGCATTTGAAAAAAAAATACTGGTGTTGGTTGAAGGGTGGTGAGAATGTTGAAGGAGGTAACACTGATCAAGATGCACTGTACTCATAAACTGCTTGTTTTTTTCTTTTGTTTTGATCAGTCATGGGGCCTGAACTCTGGGTGTGGGTGCTGTCCCTGAGCTCCTCAGCTCAAGGCTATCGTGCTCTACCACTTGAGTCACAGTGCTACTTCTGGCCTTTTCTGCTTATGTGGTGCTGAGGAATCAAACCCAGGGCCTCGTGCATGCAAGGCAAGCACTCTTCCACTGAGCCACCTTCCCAGACTTAAATTGCTTGTCAAATAGCACCTCCTTTGTACAAGGACTCAAAAGTAATTTAAATTTTTTAATAAAAATACTGGTCTCTAAAAGGGGAAGGGATAATCTTTCATCATTAATAAGATGCACAATTTTTTAAAAAGAAGCATTATAATATTGATCCTATTGATTCAGGAACTAAATTATTCAAAAGGCTAAAGTTTTAAGGAAAAGTTCTCCCTAAGTATTTCTTAAACCCCTTGCTCCAGTATTTAAGAACTTTTTTTAAAAAAGCTAAGAGGTATGGAAATACAATGGAGGGATAAAATTGTTCAAAGTACAGTGGATACATCTAGGGAATTATTACAAAGAAACCCCCTCATAGTATTAATTTATGCTAATTTAAAAAAGAAAAATATTACAAATAGTTGAAAGTACTGCTCCTTCCACATATACACATATGTGTGCACATACACACATGTACACACATGCATACTCTTCCATCTTACCTAAAGACTTGCAGACTGAAATGGTTGCCTCTTCTAACAGCTTCAACTCAGTACTGCAGAGACAAAGAAGAAAATAATGTATAACCACAATATTAAACATCTGTTAAATACTAAGTATCAAAGGAATATGTAAATGAGAGAAAAATAAATAAGAAAACATGGGGAACAAAATCAGCAATAAGAAATGAAGCTTCAATTTTCAATGTAGTTAAGAAAATTAACCTTCAATATGAAAGTGCTCAGAGATGGGTTTAGGTGGAAGAAAACCAAAAAATTCAAGACAGGCACTCCAAAGTATTGAGCACAAAGTAGGAGCTCCATTTGTCCAATTCTAAAGAAGAACTGCTAGTAAAATTATAATTATTTAGAAAAATGTCAGCATTTTTAGGAGATATACATTGTACTGTTGACACCTGCAATACTCTATCAGTTAAAAAGAAAATGAAGGCGAGAATACATATACAAGCTTCACCAATTCTCAAATATATAAAAGGACACAGACATACACAGGTGGAGACAAACATACAGAAACAGACGTGGACACAAAGTGACACTGAGCCAGAAGGCACAGACAGACAAAGATGGACAGAAGTCTTTAGAAGAAACCCTTGGGAAAAGGTTTACGCTTAAATTTGGCAATCATTTCTTAGACAGGACACCCAACTCATAGTGCTCTCATTTATTTGTAATAGATTATTTAGCCTTAAAAGGGATAAGGGTGGTTGGACATGGCTTTTTCTAGAAAACCTTTGATCACGTAAGATCAAGTAAGTATCCAATCATAAAACTGAGCACGTGTGTGTGTGTGTGTGTGTGTGTGTGTGTGTGTGTGTGAAAACTGAGCACGTGTGTGTGTGTGTGTGTATGTGTGTGTGTGTGTGTGTGTGTGTGTAAGAGTCAACTGTTTCTTCATCGTGGTGCTCCCAGGCTAGCATAAAGCAGATATTTAGTAAAAATTGTATAAATGAATACCATTATCTTGTACTTCTTGTGAAGATGACAAAATTATTTCTTCTTGCTCCTCAAGAAACTTCCTACATTCAGCCTTCAAGTTTAAATTTTTGTTAAGATACTTTAAAGATAATTGGATATGAGTGGGGCTGTAGCTCAAGTGGTAGAGCGCTCGCCTTGAGTTGAAGAGCTGAGGGACAACGCCCAGGCCCAGAGTTCAAGCCCCACGACCGACAAAAAAAAAAAAAAAAACTATATAGAGCACTCAGAACCTCGGCGATTTAAAAAAAAAAAAGATAATTGGATATGAATCTCAGTGGTAGTGCTTATTTATCCTAGAGGGCACGAGGTGGGTTTAAATATCGAGCACAGTGTAGTGGGGTCTGGGGAGGGATTTTAAAGACGTTTACTTATTTCCAAATGTAAATAGCTGATCTTTCTTGGTCATAATGATCCCCTTTCCCTTTGAAAGCTCCCCCTTGTGGTGAGCCAGCTAGCACTTGCAGTTATGTACAAGCCTGGCTCTTAGTACCTGGGGCCAGTATTGCCCCCACCTCCTGAGCAATCACCACTTTCTGGGCAAAAGCATCTTCGGTTCTCTATGAAAACAGGAAAAGTGCATTGTTCACTCATGTATCCCACCATGACTGGTTTCACTGGAGGAAAACACTTGGTAATTATCTGTTCAATAAAGGACTTGCAGGGTTCTTTCGCAATGTGCCTGTAATTTCTGCACTCTGAAATATTTCTATAAAAGAAATCAGCCAGGCACACTTCTGCCAAAACCAACACACTAATTGTTATAATAGAATTTCTTTTCTCTCATCCCTCCATTCTCTAGTTTCTTGAAACATGTAGGAATAATCTGCTTTCCCATTTGCTTGATTTAGAGCCATAATGAGGTGGTAAGCAACTGGGGTGGTTGGTAACTGTTGCTGCCTGTTATAGGCATCTATGCACAGTACTGTTTTAGTTAAACAAATGAGCTCAGATGTTCTGGCAGCAGGCAACCAACAAATCATCATTTGCCGTAAATAAAAGTAAAATGGTATTGCAAAAATATGCCAATGTTTCCAAGACAATTACAATTAGAAACCAAGTGTTGATTCAGAAGGCAAATTTGGAGCACTGGAAACATACAAAGAGGAGATTTTAAAAAGGAGCAAATATTCATACTAATTCGGATTAAGTAAATTAATACCACACAGAGTACTTCAAATGTGCTATATACATAAAATCCAAATCTACATAGTCAATTAGAAAACTGTCCACAGTGAGAGGTTAGGGATCAATACTTAAAATGAGTAATCTATTAGTTGAACTTTTCACTAAACAAACTAAATGCTAAATAAACAACCATATTGATCTAAGACCAGATATGACTCTATCTGAAGTAATATGGCACACAAGGGACCTTCTTCTCAGACCATGACCATAATTCTGGCAGCAGCACAAATGGAGTCACAGAACAGTAATCTCATTTTTGCTAGTGACATCCCAATGAACAATGGAACTAAAGGGACTAGAGAGCTATGCCCAAGATCTCATACATACCTCCCCATAAGAAAATCTGAAATAGGGATGGGGATTTTTTCCAATTTTTAGAATCTTCATTGGGCTTCCCTAATCAATTAATCAATAAAATGGTTATTAATATTTTCACAGATTGCTTTTTAATGTATTCACTCTCTTATTTTGATTTCATAAATCTTTAGGGAGAAATCTGTTATCAACACCAATCTCAAATTCTATACACATTCTTATAAGACTTCTGCTATAGAACTACAGCAAGAAATATCAAAAATACAGTCAAATTTCATCTAAGTTTCAAACAATTAAAGTAATCTATGCCACCTTCAATGAATCTGACAACATACATCGTAACAAAGTTAAGTTACTGGGGTATAAATAGCAAAGAAGACAGGCAAGGTAAAATAGATCAAGAGAATGAGGAATCTTTATGTTTTTTATTGTAAAAATACTGTACAGAGGGGTTACAGTTACATGAGTAAGGTAATGAGTACATTTCCTATCGAGCATTGTTTTTCCTTTGTTTTTCCCCTCCCATCCCTTCCCTCCCCATCTCCCTAACTCCTCCCCCTCCCCAAGGTGTAAAGTTTGTTTTCAACATAGTGTCTTGTGGGGGCTGGGAAGGTGGCTCAGTGGTAGAGTGCTTGCCTTGCATGCATGAGGCCCTGGGTTTGATTCCTCAGCACCACATAAGCAAAAAGAAAAAAGCCAGAAGTGGCACTGTGGCTCAAGTGGTAGAGTGCTAGCCTTGAGCTGAAGAGCTGAGGGACAGCGCCCAGACCCAGAGTTCAGGCCCCACTACCAGACCCAAAAAAAAATAAAAAAAAATAAAAAAATAGTGTCTTGTACATCTCATTGTTACAATGAGTCAACCTGTATCCTTATTTCAGCATTTTGTTATTTCCCTTCCTCTCCCCAAATTAGAAAAATGTATATACAAGATGTAGGGCACTGACATCAAATACAGGGGTTATACTGTGGGGGAAGAACATTCAAGAGAAACAAAAAAAAAAAATCACATAGTATAATTTAAATACATTAAATGATGGTTAGATGCACGAATTTAAATACATTAAATGATGGTTAGATGCCATGAAGTAGGTGGCAATGCCTTAACCGTATGCAAGGTGTTGTCAGGCCCAAGGGCCTCTTCCATCCTTGTCAAGGGGAGTGCTAATCTCTCCTTTCATACATCACAAGAATCTTTTTTTAAAATATATATCTTTACTGTAAAAGTGATGAACGGGGGATTATAGTTACATAAGTAAGGTAATGAGTACATTACTTTTTGTTTTGTTTTGTTTTGTTGGTTGTGGGGCTTGAACTCTGGGCTTGGGTGTTGTCCCTGCGCTCTTCAGTTCAAGGAGAGCCCTCTACCACTTGGGCCACAGCGCCACTTCTGGTTTTCTGGTGGTTTTATTGGAGATAAGAGTATCATGGAGTTTCCTGCCCAGGCTGGCTTTGAACTTCGATCCTCAGATCTCAGCCTCCTGAGTAGCTAGGATTAGAGGCATGAGCCACCAGCACCCGGCTGAGTACTTTTTAAACACTGTTACCCCCTTCCTCATTTTCTTCTGCTTTCCCCTTGCTACTCCCCTCTCCCCCATTGTGTAGTTCATTTCCAACGTAGTGTAAGTGAGTATCATTGTTGATTAGTTCACCCTTGCCCTGCTATTTCTGTGATTCCCTTTCCCTTCCATCAATCAGATAAATTTATATACAAGACAAAGGATACAGAAAACTATGACAGAAATAGAACTGCCTACAGAACATAATGAGAACATATACTCAGAGCTCAAAAATTAAATTCCCCCCCAAAAAAAATCCTCAAAAAACAACCACCCCATTATCAAGTGGGCTAAAGACTTAAAGACAGACTTCTCTGAAGAGGAAATAAGAATGGCCAATAGATACATGAAGTAATGTCCAATATCTCTGGCCATAAAAGAAAGCAAATCAAAACAATATTGAGATTCCACCTTACCCAGTAGGAATGGCCATTATTGAGAAATGCAATTAACAACAGATGCTGGTGGGGATGTTGCCATAAGGGAACACTACCACACTAATGGTGAGAGTGCAAATGAAGCATGTTCAATGAAGCATTATTTACCATAGCTAAGATATGGAACCAACCTAGATGCCCCTCAGTAGAAGAATGGATCAAGAAGATGTGGTATATATACACAATGGAGTTCTATGCTTCCATCAGAAAGAATGACATTGTCCCATTTATAAGGAAATGGAAAGACCTAGAAAAAATTATAATAAGTGAGGTAAGCCAGGCCCAAAGAAAAGTAGGTTGCATGGTTTCCCTCATTTATATTAACTTGAATATGCCTACGACATTCTTAACAGGAGATCTCAATAGCCCAATTGCTAAGTGCATAAGACCATATATAATGAAGTGTATCAACATGAACTCCAAGAATTGGAAACAAGAATCTTAATATACTTTTCCTAAATGTAATGAAGGGTCATTTTACACAAAAAAACCCACACACTATCAAACCGCACAAAGCAGCATGTGTCCCAAGTATGCCTCCTACCATCCTGAAAATTGTAGCAAAAT